TAAATGGCAAAATGGATCAGGCCTATTCAACGGCCCTAGACACAACACTAACATAGCCCAGTCCGATGTCTACTAATGTCGGTCCATCACAAGACATCATGCTTGGACTAGCATTCCGGTCTGTGTCGGCCTAGGCACATCACAACGCCGGTCCAATCTCTCACTATGCTGTGGGCAAGGCTTACCTCGTCGTCTCTTGAGGCGACCAGCCGCCGCCGCCGTTGGTGCCACTCGACGGCAAGCGGCGGCAGCTGCCTCTGGTGGTGCAGAGTAAAGTCAAGACGGCGAAGTTAGAAGATCTCGTTCAGACAAAGTGCACCTTTGGATGGCCACCTAATCGAATGGCGGAGGAAGGGGGCAATGAGTTTATATAGTTTCCACTAGAAAATTTTAAGCTTTAGGCTTTTTGCTACCGTACTCTCAAATAAATATGGACCGTCGATCTAAAAGACAAAATAACATATTACCTAGCATGTAATAGGTAAAATAAATTTTATATGTTATTTTGTTTTGGAAAGGAGCAAAATATCTTGTAATTGGACCTCTATTAGCCAAATTATTGAACCGTCCTTGCGTAATGGCCACGTGCATACAGTGTTGTACCGGTTAACGTTAACAACTTTGGGAAAACCATTTATGTAACGGTTGTATATGTGATAAAATTTTCTATGATCTATATGTAATTTAACTTTTATACCTAATATAAAATGACACTGATGTAACATTGTTTTGTACCTAAAATATAAAATGTAATCCAACATGATTTTGTAACATTTATTTTATTTGTTGGAACGTGATGAATGAACCGAAAATAGAAATTGTTTTAGTTTTCAACGTGAAAAAATAAAGCTAATTCAATTCATAGTGTTATTGTAATGTAACATTTTGTTGTAATAACGTGACTACACGCCCAATTAAGAAACATAAATAGCATGTCATGGAAAGTTGATTTCGACTCTAAAATTATCTCTTGTCCGATGGCCTTTCATGAAGTGTGCAGCCGTTGGTTGCAACCAAAAGGAAACAAATTACATGTACGCATCTCTATCTCTACTATAGGGAACAATTCAAACTATTCTAGGTACACCCAAATATGTGTCTCCACCGATAGAGTTCAACTATTATGTACCAATAAAAATGTACCTAAAATTTCAACATCATTAAAATATATGGCTCTTAATCCTCTGTGGCAAGCTTGAACTCAGTCCGATGGCCGAGGTTATTTAGATGTCGCAGGCTTCAACGTTGCTTCCCACTCCACCGCTCCATCCGCAAGGCGGCACGGCCTCACGAGTAAACCCCGCACCCGCTTTTAGCGTTCCATCCCCAAAGAAGCCAGCGAAAAGCCTCCAGCTCTCACGTATTATTTCCGCTCTTTTTTTTTTTCTAATAAAAACGATCACAACAACGAAATGTCGCCGATCTCTCTCCTCTCCTCGCGACGATCTCTTCTCCCCGCCCTCCGCAGATCGGCGTCACAGCGGATTCGCACCTCCTGCTCCATGGTCACCACCGCTGTCCTCGCCTCCCGTCTCCTTGCCACGCCGCCGCCGCTTGCCACGCGACCTGGCGGTGGCCGCTGCAAAGGCGAGGACGCCCACGGAGGAGGCGGTCTTCGAGGTTGTGCTGCGGCAGCCGATCCGGGCGCGGCAGGGGGAGAGATCCCGCGATCAGTAGCCCCGAGGGCCGTAAGGTTGCTGGAGCAGAGGTGAAGGGCGCCATGGTTGAGGAGACCATGCTCGGTGTGCTCCGGGCCATGGGGAACGACTGCTGAAGCCTCTCCATGAAGCACGAGTACCTCGAGAGGACCTCCGGTGTTCATGCCCGTTCGTTCATTTCCCCTAATCTGGATCTCTCGATTCATATTTGAGTTATATGGTTGTCGCCAAATATGGATTATATCCTTTAATCCTAATCTGCTTACGCTTTTCTGATGGTTTATACTTCAAACAAACCATGCAGAGAAATGTATTTACCATTTTTTGCAAGAGAATAATCAATCAATTATCAGTTTCCTTTTGTATCAGTTATACTATCAAATAGATATTGAAATTTTGTTTGATTTACAGCTACTACTTGAAGGCTGGACTCTCAGTAACGGGGGCAATGACAAACAGCACAAACATTGGAGTTGGAGCAACCATATTTCAGGAGCTTTACACAAGATTTCGGTGATCACATATTCTAGAAAATTGTTGCTGTTCAGCTTAGGGTTTCTATATTACAGTTGCTGAGTATTTCCATCATATGGGCCACAACTTCAGTATGATGGCTGACTCTACCTCCTGATGGGCTAAGGCATTGCCTGAGATCCCAGGGCATTTGGTACGATAAGGTTGTAATTACAGGTTCTTGTCATCTATGTAATGTCAGGGATCTTGTCCGTGATCTCATCAAGTGTGGAGGTATGAAGGGGATCGTAAGTTTATTTTCTCATTCTGTTGAGCATTTCCACATGTGTTGCAATTCATGTTTAGCATTTCCATATGTTCTTATTCACTTGCTTGGTATTGTCGATGGTTGATGCACCTTTTGATGTATTTGATGACAATCCTTCAATGAGACGGTGACCTGCTGTAAGACGGGTTGAAGACATGTTTGAACAAGTGAAAACTAAGCTTTGGCAACGGAGGCGAGGGTTGGCTTGTCGTAGAGGTATATGCTGCGAATTCACGATTGAGAAAATTGCAGCACCTATGATAAAAAAAATTTCTTTGTTGTGGCGGAGAATTTGGGATATGTCCCAGCAGGCCATGGTGCTCGCTGAGGACAAGAACTACTACCCCATCACCGAAGAAATGAACGGGCGTCTTGGTGTGGAGATGCTCATGGATGAGACGAGCGCCGCTCGAGCCGCCCATCCTTGCGCAACTCTGCATTGTGAAGTTTAAGATCAGGCCGGCTAACTTCAATTGATTTGGGTCGGCTAATATAAGTGGAGATGCTCTCCTTACGGAGAAGAACACTGGGAGGCACTGATTTTTGCTACTGGGAGGCACTGATTTTTTGCTTGAGGATGATAAATTCCGTCGAGAAGAACACTGGGAGGCACTGATTTTTGCTACCGGAAGAAACTGGAAACTATTTTTATGGGGCCCTGAGGGGATAACTTGGTTGCTGCATGGATGTTGTTATCTCTTTCAATTGGATTTGCCAAAAATCTACTACTGAATTTCCCCTTCACTCTATTTTGATTCAATTTTTTTCATTGGTTTTTTTATCAGTCATGACTCATGAGTATGAACCTCCTCTTGTGAGGTGACCAATTGCATCAGTTCACAAGACGTTATGAGTTGGACAAGGAATTTTAGCAGCTCCTATTAGCTGTTTCAATAATTTGACTTTTGCGTCTAATGTTTTAAAAGAACATAATACACTGTGCTACAGTGGGGCTGGTTAGAAACAAGAATGGAGGATCAAGGAGTTTTCAACACAATTAAAGAAGCTGTCAATTTGCATCAATGAAAGATCTAAAAAGTATATGATGAGTGGTGTTATTTTGTAATTATGGTTGCAGGGAGTGGTTGGGCCGATTGGTCGCACAGTTTGAGGAAGGTGCATAGCAGCTAATCAATAAGGTATGTGCAATTCATTATGTCATAAAAATCTTAATGAATCTCATTGCTCGTTTTATTTTTAATATGTTTTGTATTTTACCATAGGGTTAGCTGACTTATATAATTACCGTACCAGCTAAGCAGGGCTTAAACTGTTAAGCTTGATTCCTGTGGCCTCCTCTTCCCTACCAATCTCTAATCTCTTCCGGTTTGCGTGCTGCAGTAGCAGGGCACTGGGGCTGGGCACCAGCACCTCTGTCATCTCTTCCCATTGTGGCTGAGGTGCAGTAGCAGGATTCGATGGCATGTTTTGGCTTTCCCTTAGCAGCCGGCGAACTTGCTATCAAATGGTTACCAGAGAATAGGATTCTGTAGATTTTTTTTATCTCATGTTTTTTTTTACTATGTTACTGTTAGGGATCAGTGAGAAGGAAAGATGTTATGGGTCTATTGATTTAATCTTGTTTTACTTGTCATATTTGTATATTGGAATAAATTGAGACTGTCAGCTTGTTTCTCCGATTGAGATTGTTACAAAATATTTGTATTGGAATAAATTGCCTTTGGGAAATAAAAACACAAATCGATCTGTGGGTTATTAAGTTGCAGCAAATGGGAATGCAATTTGCAGCTAATCCTCTACTTCAGTATGTTTGGGTGATTTTTTTTCTTACATGTGGTACAATGGGAGTCTTGTAGCTGAGACCGAGTATTTGATGGTTTTGTGTTGCCGTAACGTTAGCACGTTAGCATTATACTAGTACAGATAAAAGGAAGCAATCGGTTATTTATTTTCTCTTTTATTAAATATTTTATCTCTCCTAATATTTAAGGGCTTGGGTTTATTTGAAATCTTACCTGGGTGGTTAGAGTACCGTAGAAAACCATTTAAACTTTATCAAAATTTGAAAGTATTGTACTGCTGGCCTCTAATAAAAAAAAGAAAAGTCGCATTTCTAACTGCAGTGGCTATAATTGATTGTCCGAGAAGATGCTAAAATTCACGGCTTGTTTTGTGGTTGGAGAAAGTACTAGTTTATCACAGTAACTCAAACCACCCAGATTTTGTTGTCCATCTTCCTTACTTTTGAATTTTGATACGACATTTCCAGAAAGACAACCAAAGTGCTTTGAACAGTTCATGTTGAAAAGTAAATATTCCTGTAATTCAGAACCAAACCCCCTTAAACAAACAAACAAGAGAACAGTCAGAGAACTGAAACCCAAAAAACGTGAACCAGAAACATTCAAGTTCGCGCCTGTTCGGCAGGACTGAAAAATACTGTACCGGCTGATTGTTGTGAGAAAAAAATACTGTTCTGACAGAACGTGAACAGTGATTCTGTGAAAGGAAAAACAAGCCAGCCGGCTGACTTTAAGCCAGACGAACACGCCCTTCATTGATCCATCGACGTCGTCCATGCTGATGTCGCTGACGACCCATCAACGCGGCTCCAAGTCAGTAAGGGAGGCATCATTGATGGACATGGACTGTCCCCGACCTGCTGCCACCGCCCTCGCACCCTGGCGATCCGTCCCCGTCACGGGCGCGTCCGCGGTCACCGTGAGACCACGGCCCGGCATCGCGAAGGCTGGCGCGTTGGGGGCCGGTAGCGTAATGGAGCGGCTGTTGAGCATGACGACGACCGACGCCATGCTGCGGCGGAGGTGCGGATCCTCCTGGACGCAGAGCAGACCGACGTGGATGCACCTCAGCATCTCCTGCGCCCGACGCCCCTCCTCGGGGCACCCCTCCAGCAGCGGTTGCACGCTCCCACGGCTCCACTGCCTCCAAACCTGCCCATGCCATGCAAAACAAGGATAATAGGACTAGGATATTAGCCTTAAAAGGAGTTAGGATATATACCAAAAAAAGGTTCTACTTGATGCTTCATCATCATGACAGTAATAAGAGGGATCCATACATAGGTAAGAAGATCTTCGGAGGGTCCTGAAGCATGCGTGTACGTGTTGCGTCGTCCGGTGACTATCTCGAGGACAAGGACACCATAGCTGAAAACGTCTGATTTGGCCGAGAAGATGCCGTGCAGAGCGTACTCCGGCGCCATGTACCCACTGCATGCATTTCAAAGCCACGGTCAGCATGTCAGATTGTCAGGTTAACACCACGCTCGTGATCACCACAGCTGGAGTCCACCGGCAGGCAAACTTCCTAGGTTCCAGCAATGCGGCTGGTGTTTCCAACGCTGGAGTCGATACTAAACAGCTTTGCCAAGCCGAAGTCTGAGATCTTGGGGTTCATGTCGGCGTCCAGCAAGATGTTGCTCGCCTTGAGATCACGGTGGATGATGGTAAGCCTCGAGTCCTCGTGGAGGTAGAGGAGCCCTCGGCTGATCCCCTTGATGATCTTGTGCCTCAGTCCCCAGCCCAGCTCTTGTTGCCGTGCAGGATCTGCGAGTTGAATTTACTGAAATTATTAGCAAATGGAGTGTCCTAGTGACACTGGTGTGAAATGATAGTATTAAGAATCATGGTTGTCTAAAAATGTAGCACCAAAGACGATCTTGTCGAGGCTGTTGTTGGTAAGAAACTCGTAGACGAGGAGCCTCTCGTGTTCCTCGATGCAGCAGCCGAGCAGTCGCACCAAGTTCCTGTGCTGGAGCTTCGCCAACAGGAAAACCTCGTTCTTCATCTCCATCTGTCCTTGCTGCGAAGTTGCAGACAACCTCTTCACTGCAATCTCCTGCCCGTTTTGTAGCGTGCCCTGAAGAACATTGAGACCGGATCAACAACTAATCTGACGGACTTACGGGAAAGAATATCAGCTGCGTAGATTAGTTTTTAGGTTGCATGTTTAAAGTTAAGTTTCGTACTTTGTATACTGGCCCAAAACCGCCTTCGCCGTGCTTGTTTTCTTGTGAGAAGTTGTTGGTGGCAGCTCGTAGGGTGCTCAAATCATACAGGAGAGACTCTGAGCTTCTCATTTATTCGTCATCTTCACGTCCTGTTTATAATAGAACACGAAATGACCTCAAGCCTAAACATAGCACCATACTACTCATCAAATGTACTGACATTGTTTCACCACTTACTGATGCTGGCAATCTGCACATGCTTGTGTGGTTTTCTGTTCCTGTTGCAGAGATAGGCAACAACTAGCAGCAGCACCAGCAGCGCAACAGCGACAGGGATTGACACGAGAAGAGCTGTCCTGACTGTTTGATTACTCCCTGAACAGAATCCACACGGGTGCACGGTAATTCAGAATAGAAGCCATTTCAGACTTTGCCAAGATTAGTCACCGTCCAAACTCTGAATTCAACTCTTCTACTAAAAAGAAAAACGTTTTCCGCATCTCATGTGGTCATGTTTGAAGAAGATGGAGAAATCCCATCGTCAATTTTGCCGAGTCAAGATGAGAGCAAGTGTCAACTATCACGGCGACAACAGCGGAGTTCAGATCTCGGAGCCACAACAAGCATCAACTATGAAAAGCGTATGGAAAGTGACTGGATGGCAGAAGATCCTAAGTGTCAACTATCAAACGCGTCAGGAAAGTGACGGGACCACGGGAGATAGGAGATTGGAGGAGTTGCATTGTGGATGGACTCACCGTCGCTTCCTGGACCCGAGTGGTCACTTCCGTTGACGAACCCGCCTCCCGGGGCCGGCGCCGGCGACATCCAGTTGTCTCCAAACCGGCGACATCTTCACGAAGGGCGTTACCGCGTCGAGCCGACCGCGAACATCCGCGGGGACTCGAGCGCCGCCTTCTTCGCGAGGTTGTTCATCAGCGCGCCGAGCCGCGGCGTGAACTGGCCAAATATCTATCCAAAAGTTAGCATTGTTATCTTTCCCCACTGTTACTATTATTATTATCCTGTAATAAAGATCTAAAACCAAAAGTTAGTGTAGTTACCTTTTTTTGCTGTTACTATTGTCATTGCCCTATAAAGATCTTTAAACTGTATCAGTTGTCTCCAAACCGTGTGTAGTCTTGCTGATTTTGTCTCCCAGTCCTTTTCCGTTGGTACAATCTGAATTCCTTATCGCGCACATTTAATTTGAAGGGCACATCCCACCCAAACGAAGATATTGAAGATCAAGGGTGCAATTAAGTTGAGATTGATTGATTAGCACAGTACTCTTAGTTAGTACGCCTGTTTAGCTGCACCGTTATAGCCGGTGATCTGTGTCAGTGTGCAGCCGTGCAGTGACCTCGACATCTCGCCGTCGTTTGCCGCCGGTTTGTGTTGTATGAACTCTAACCTCTCTTAATGAAGCACGTGCAAAGCTCGCTTTCGAAAAAAAATTAGCACAGTACTCCATTAGATTAGTCCTGGTGGGATTTAATTCGAATGCAAGCTGCGCTACCTACAATTTGGGGGAAAAGGTCAATAATGAAGAAAGGTCGCTGACGTCAATGCCCAATACAGGTCGATCTCCTCTTTGCTCCGAATTACACGCAGCAAAGGCCAACGAGCCAACGACCAAATCATCTTCCAGCTGCATTTAAAGAGAAGACCCAGGTCAACCATTGCACGAGTGGTCGAGTGCTGGTGCTGGGAGGAGTATTCTTCGGTCACTCTTTCATACTATGCATACGCAATAAGCAAATAAAACAATGGTCATCACCACTGAAGTGCCTTTAAAGAGCACAGAAGGACGCAGCAAGAGCAGAGAAGTGCCTAAGCATTAGCAACTGTACGTTAGCGACCAAAATTAGCGATTTGGCATCAACAGGAACCTTCCTCAGCTAGCCATGCACAGCCTTCTTCCGCTCCTTCTCCTCGGCTGGTGGTGTCTCCGCCTCACCGCAACAACTAACGCCGACAACCTCAAGTTCTACATCACCACCGAGTGCTCGAACAACATGAACTACACGCGCGGCAGCGCGTTCTAGGCCAACCTCGACGCGATCCTCTCCTCCCTCCCAGACGCCGCAGCCGCGTCCTCTGGGTTCGCCGAGAAAAACACCGGCGCCGCCGCGCCGGACAAGGCGTACGGCCTCGCGCAGTGCCGTGGCGACGTTGGCGCGTCGGACTGCCGCTCCTGCCTCAACGAAACGGCGCATGAGATGGCCAGCGCGTGCCCGGGCCAGAAGAACGCCATGCTCATCTACGAAGGCTGCATGCTGCGCTACTCCAACGCCAGCTTCTTCGGCGACCCCTACACGTCCAACCCGATCTTCCAGCTGGCGAACGACGAGAACGTGACGCAGCCGGAGCGGTTCATGTCGCTGCTCGGCGTGCTGATGAGCAACCTCACCAGGGAGGCCGCCTACGGGTCCCCGCGCAGGTTCGCAGCCGGCGAGGTCCAGCAAACAAGCTTCGTGACGCTCTATGGCTTGGCCCAGTGCACGCGGGACACAAGCGCGGGAAACTGCATGCTGTGCCTCGCCATTCTCGTCGATGCGATCCCCAAGTGCTGTAACGGGAAGCAGGGCGGCCGGATCTTCTCGCCGATCTGCCAGCTCCGGTTCGAGATTTACCCGTTCTACGACCCCCTGGCCGCCCAGGCGGCCATGTCACCAGCGCCGGCGCCACGAAGTGGGCCAGTCAACGGCAGCGACCTTCCCGGCCCACAAAACACTGGTAAGTTGAACTACCACTACAGTGGCCGTGCCAGTGGACTGTGGACCCCAAATTATGCGTGTGGCTCTAGCGAAGTCCAGGACTGGCCCAGCTGGGCCCCGTCACTATCGTTGGGCCCTCGCCAGCCAGCCCATCAATCAAATGGTAGAAGTCGTAATCCTATTGACTCCGCAAGAGCGCACGCAGTCACGCACTGCCCTGCTGGTGCGTGGGTGCACCTAGACCTAGAAATAGAAGTCACACTCCTGTCCAATAAGATATTTTGACTTTTCTAAATACATTATTTCTGTTATGCACTTAAATTCATATGCATGTGAACCAGAAGACAAAATTTCTAAAATTTTGTTTTGTAGTTCACATACAAGTGAAATTTGTTATTTTCGTATGATTTTTTTTTTCCAAAAATGGTTTTACATCTCAACTTTGCATGTGACCACATATGTCAATGAACTATGGATATGCCAAGTTTCAAATTCTTTTGAGTTGTACAAGTGCATTTTGAATTGGTTTTCATGTTTTCACTAAAGATGTGGTTCCCATCATATATTTCCACTAGTTAGCTAACAACTAGTTAAAGGCTTGACAAAAAAAATAACATTCATGTTTGAATATACTAGGGCTAGTTTTAGATAATTTTTAGCTAGCTAGCAATTAGCTCTGGCATCTAGACAGATCCTTACTCTCAATAAGTATGGATTGGAGGGGGTTTTCTTCTATGTAAATATGCCCAAAAGAGGTCAAGAAATCATCTGATCTAACTTCAGTTTGTTCAAAAAGCATGTTAGTCATTACGATGTCATTTATCACCAAATCACGAAAATAGTATTAGAAACCCACAAAAATTGTTTCCAAATGCTTTAAAGAGTCATGTCTAATTGGTAAAGTATAACAATTTCCCGTCAATCTACAATCCGTTTCATTGTATTGTCTAATAATGAGGAAAGTGTAATTTGAATGCACGGTGGACTTGCCTTCCATCCAGATCCAAATAATGTTCTATGGCTTTCCATATATAGTTGTCAACTAGTTTCTTACAAATGCTGTTACAAGCATGATGGTTTCAGTAGTTTGGTTCAAAAGATGAGTGATTCTAGGTGAAGGTTGATGAAAGAGCTTCTATTCTGATTAAGCTCCATCGGTGCAGGAAGTAATAGCACAGTCAGGACAGCACTTATTATTGTCTCGATTCTTGCTGCTGTCATGCTGCTGCTGTTTGTTGCTGCCTATGGCTGCAAGAAGAACAGAAAACCATACAAGCACGTGCAGATAGTAAGAGACGGTAAGTTACTGAAATGTTGTTAGCTATCAGGAGAGAACATTGTGGTGCAACCTTCAGGCTTGGATCTTCCGTTTTCTCTTATCAATAGGACACGGGGCTGAAGAAGAAGAAATGAGAAGTTCAGAACCTCTCACATACGACCTGAGTACTCTGCGAGCTGCAACTGACAATTTTTCAGAGGAAAATAAGCTCGGGGAAGGAGGGTTTGGGCCAGTCTACAAAGTAAACTTCAATCCTGGAGCCCGACCAAAAATTAGTGCCTAAAAATGGTCTTTCTCATAATAAGAACACAAAATGTCTGATGGTCTGATCTCTTCTCAATGTTCTTCAGAGTACCCTACCAGATGGGCAGGTGATTGCAGTGAAGAGACTCTCCAGAACTTCGAAACAAGGGCATGTGGAGATGAAGAACGAGGCTGTCCTAGTTGCAAAGCTCCAGCACAAGAACTTGGTGCGGCTTCTAGGCTGCTGCGTCGAGGAAGACGAGAAGCTCCTTATCTACGAGTTCCTCGCCAACAAGAGCCTCGACAAGATCCTTTTTGGTGCTCGCTTGACCATAATCCTTGCATGTCAGGCCACTCGGTCCTTTTGTTTACTGATGAGTGAGCTCAACTTTCAGATCCTATAAGGCAGCAAGAGCTAAGCTGGGGGCAGAGGTACAAGATCATCGAGGGAATTGGCCGAGGGCTTCTCTATCTTCACGAGGATTCGAGGCTGACGATCATCCACCGTGATCTCAAGCCAGGTAACATCTTGCTTGATGCGGACATGAATCCTAAGATCTCAGACTTCGGCTTGGCGAAGCTACAACCCTGCAACAAACAAGTTAGAGCAGCAGGTATACAAATTCAACGTGGTGACCAAATACCAGACACGTCTAGTATTAATACCAGACACGTCCGGTATTCACGGGTTTGCCCGACCAGCTCTCAACTTGCTCCGATTGATCTCTCTTTTCAAACCAAGGTCTAGACCACTATTGGTAACCTACAGATAAGCTCAAATAACACACAAAGATCACAAATACCAAATGTAGAGAGATAGAGACACGGTATTTGTTTTACCGAAGTTCGGACTTCGTCGAGTCCTACTCTCCGTTGAGGGGGCTGCGAGCGACCCAGCGAAGGTCAGCTCTAGAAGACCACGAAGGCCACTCTAGCCGGAGTTTTTTCAACTCCTTTTCCTCCTTCCACTAGTTGATTACATCCCTTGCGGTGGTGGAATCGAACCGTTACAAACTTCTCGAGGCACACCACAATCTTTTGGGTGCTCTCCAGCGACGCCTAGCCGTCTAAGACCGAAGAGTCCAAGAGTAGCAAATGCAAATCACGAGATCGATAAATATGCACAAGTGCTCAAGGGTGGCTTGCTTTCAATTTTGAATCTCACTCAACCCACAAGATGATTTTGCAAGTTTGAATCAATCACTCACTAAGAGGGGGCTGGAGAGTGTTTTGAAGGCTAAAAAATGTGTGAGGTTGTCAGCAGAATCAGCCGCCTCCAAAGGTGGAGGCTAAGGGGTATTTATAGCCCCTTTGAAAAACTAGCCGTTATGTAGCTGTTGGGCAATACTGGACACGTCCGGTATCTACCGTACAGCCCCAACAGTAACTTTGTCAATGTCGTTGTGAGGCGTCGGAACTCCTGACGAGCCAAGCCGAGACAACGAAGAAATTGCTGTGACAGGGCAAATACCGGACACGTCCGGTAGGTATTGCCTGCACAGTGCCAACAGTCACTGAGTCAGTGGCGCAAGTGAGGCGTCGGAACTCCCAACGAACCAACCTGAGAAAGCTGAGGAAATTGCTGTGGCTGGGAAAATACCGGACACGTCCGGTATTGCCAGACCAGCAACACCAAGTTAGATCTTATGTCTCTCAAACACTCAAAACTCACATGGATTGGCTTGAGCACTTATGAATGATTATCCATCAACATGATGCATCTCTCTTAATAGTACAGCATACATATAACTCAAGTTTAACTGAAAAAGGAATTTGAAGCGCTTGAGTTGAATTTTCTTGAACCGAAATGCCATAGCTTTCAATCTTCATCAAGAGAGGGTGTCAACATGTCGACTTTGATTTTATCCTTGAGCATAGCCATCTTGACCATTTTGACTTGATTCTATTCAATAAATGTGAATTGGCTTCAAAGTTATCAAGTCATCCATTTATAAAAGTTATATAGGATTTGATTCTCCACTTCAATATGACCAATATGGTTTGATCGGTGCCTTGACTAAATGCAAGTACTTTCTTCTTTACCTTAGCTAGGTTCCTTGATCACCAAGCCATCGCTTGCCCTTCACCCTTGCTTAGTACCTCGAAGCCTTTCCTTGCTATCTTCACCATCTCAAGCCATCTAGCTACACACTGGTGTCGAATCATTCATTAAACTCATTTATATACATGTCTTTAACTTAGCAAGCTTTAAAAGGTGAGACCAATCCATATGCAATCCCTCACGTCTCATTAGTTATTATTCACCGTGCTTGCTTTCATATGAGTCATCGAAATCCCACAATAAACAAGCATTGCATGAATTACATTTGCATTGTTGTCTTGTGTTTGAACTAGATTGTTTTCAACAATACATCATTTTGGCTTTCATTAATTACCTGTGAGATAACCTATTATCTGTCCACACTTAGCAAACGGGTTAGACCTTTAATCACGTTATCATTCAATCATCCAAAACCCAATAAAGGGCTAAATGCACTTTCACTATCAAAGTAGATATATTATTATTTTTTTAGTCAAAATATAATCTATCAAAATAACAAATAAATAATTTATTTTATTCTCATGAGATATTAATAATTTAAATTAATTGTCAAAGTGTGCTTCCTTAAGAGAAGAAATTTTCGTAATTGCTAAACAATAAAAATATGTATCTATCACTCATGCATGATTGTATTCATGATCTCCATGTGGCATACAATATGTATGTTTGTTTTGAGATAACTTTTTACCTATTAGTCACATCAGCGGGCAATTAAAAATATATGTAGGCATATATATCTAAAAATAATTTGGTGGGATATTTTAACTTATATTTCATAATGACTAAGGTGTAATTCTATAAAAGGCAATTCTATCAACAGCCCACATCTGAGGTTTTTAAAAATTCTAAATTTTGAATTTCAAAATCTATGAACTAAAAATGGACACTTTGATTATCTTTCATAATAATAAATTTGGGTAACTACGAAGAAATAGAAAAGATCCGATGACTCCGTTGTCGTTCATTTTGATTATCTTTCACAATAATAAATTTGTTTAATTATGAAGAAATAGAAAAGATCGAATGACTCCGCTGTCAATGATGGTTGGACTCTAATAAATGGGTGGTCTAATGTTTCTGATTTATTAAATGGATTAGATCTTTTCTAAACGTGTCTCGCGCGTAGAGACTACATCGAGGAAGCATATTACTGAATTATACTCAATTCCGATCGCGTGTGGCACGAGCAGGTTTGGGGCCAATGGAGCCATCAGAACGTGTCGCAGTTGCTCGAGGGCTGCCCAGCCGATGGGCCGGGCCCGCAGGAGATGTTGAGGTGCATCCACGTCGGGCTGCTCTGCGTGCAGGAGGACCCACGCCTCCGGCCAAGCATGGCGTCCGTCGTCATCATGCTCAACAGCCGCTCCATCACGCTGCCCATTCCCACGGTGCCGGCCTTTGTGAGCCCAGCCGAAGGGCCGAGGGCGGCTGCTCCGGAGCCGTCGATCGACGAAGGGTCTGTCTCTGACTTGGAACCTCGTTGATGGTGTACTGCTGCTGCATGGAGGACGTCAATGAATCACTGCGACTATTCTTGTTGAATTGAAGGTACGCGAGTAGCCTTCATGTAAATTCCAAAGGCAGCTAGGCCAAGTAGTAGAGGGAACAACATTAATCGCATCAATATATTTCTCGCTGAGTATGGAACTGGTTTGGAAATAGCCATCCATCATTTGGACTCCTAACTGTAGCGGCTCCTGAAGCCTGATCAATGCTCATTACTGGAATTCGTGATAAATTAACATCATAAGGGCTTCCAGGACGCCCTTTCGTGCTCCATGGGAAGATTGTTACTAGCAACTCCTGCAACACCCTAAAATCGATTTTTGGAGCTTCTAATTTTGGGGTGACTTATTTTGTGAAGTTAACCCCCAAAATCAGAGCCCTACTTTCTATTTTTCTCTATTTTTGCTCTCTTCGCTCAAATGGTTTGTCCAACTCGAAGTTCAAACATAGCGATTCAAATATAGAAGACACCAAAGGCAAGGGGTCTGGGCTCAGGAATAATAGTTAGCAATTGCAAATCAAAAATGTAGTTCATCATTGCAAAATCCAATTGCCTCGGTCAAAATTGCGTAATCCAAATTGCCTCGGTCAAAATCAGAACCCAAAAACTGTTCCATACCAAGTTGCATCTCTATATTAGTTCGGGTAGCCCAAGTGGTACAAAACAGTTTGACTTTTATCTCCTTTTATTTTATAGTAGAGTGATAATAACGATAAGAATTGCTACGGCGGTGCACATACCAATTGATATCGTAAATCAAGCAATCCACAATTATGCATGCATGTCACGCCAAAAATATAATATTATTTTGTGTCATGGACTCATGATTAATATATTGTCCCTCTATGCTATGGATTAACTTGGACATAATAGCACAAAAGCAAAAAAAAAAAGAGTTTTTAAAAAATAACACAAAATCATACAAACCCAGATAAGACATGAAATTCTTGCTTATAATTAAACTCTAACATCATAAACAATTCTGTACATAAGAAGATACTCTCTTCGATTTAAATATAGAAATAATGTTTATTTAAATGGAGTGCACTCTAAGAAGATAATTAAGTTGTGTAGTAGTAATCTAAGTGTCGGATACCAGAAAATGGGATACACTAAGCAAAGATCGAAAAACTGCTTAGACCCTAAAAACAGAACCAACGGAATAAACAAACGAGGTCTCGGCCGAAATCTCCGATTCGCCCGAGACCCCGTCGCCGAGCCCCAGCGGAAGCAAACGATTCTCCGACTCGCCCGAGACCGCCTCGCCGAGGCCCCCTCGTCGAGCCCCCCTCGCCCGGGGCCCCGGAAGAAGTGGCGATTCTCCGATTCGCGCGAGGCCGACTCGGACCAGCCCCATGACCGCCTGTTCGACCGAACTGCTCTGACCGAACGTCGCATCCAAGCGCCCAACCACTCCGACAGACGCACGATGGCACAGTACAGCGAAGTGACCGACTACACGCCAGTCGCGTCAACCTCCTGCCATCTGCGACGGCACAGAGCAGGGGTTACCGACCACTGTGCTGCCTAACTCCTGCACCAAAGACATCGCAACGGGGGAGTCGAACGGGTTCTCGTAGCCTCGAATCGGCGGACCGACCGCTCCGTCTCGCCCGAGCCCCCTCGACGGGCCTCGGATTCACCGATCTTTCTCCGCCTCGCCCGTCGCCTCGCCCGAGACCCCCGGTAGGGCTCTCGGACAATTGGCGCTGGCTACGCCTCGCCCGAGGCCGGGCTCGTCCCGCAACCTCGTCGCCTCCGCCTCAAAGGTCTCTCTGGCGGCAGCCGTCAGATCCGACACGCGCCACCGCACTCCGCCACGTAAGCCACGATCG